TCCTTTTTTTGATAAGAGAACAGTATACTTACATTGATCCTTGGATATAAATCAATCCAGATTCTTGGGGTCAATTTTGACTAGAATTTCTAGACTTATCTTTGAGTATATAAGTAGTTGTGGGGGAGTAGAGATGGCACTGACTGTGGTGGTGCAGCACAGGAAAGGCTATATAGGTATGGGTGGTTGCAGTTTTTTGGGGGGCTGTGTGGCCATGTTCTAGAAGTAGTGTTTCTTGATGTTTCATCTGCATCTGTGGCAGGCATCCTTGTTGTGACCTTACAACCTCTGAGGATGCCTGTCACAGATGCAGGGGAAACGCCAGGAGAGAATACTTCTAGAACATGGCCACACAGCCCAAAAAACTTACAACAACCCAGTGATTCCGGCCATGAAAGCTTTCAACAATACATTTTATAGGTATGCCTCAGTTAATGAACAAGATGTGTTCCTGGGCACAGCTCCTTTTGAACAAAAAGTTTGGTAAGAACTGCAGAAGCAATATAGAAAGAACAAAAACTAAGTTCCTATGCTCAAAAAGAAGAGCAATTCAATATGTTTCTGCAAACTTTTTTATTCAGAATTTGTCTGTGCCAGTACCAGTAAAACTTACACAGGCAAAGAAAAATCATTTTCAACCTAAGAGACCATTCAATGGCTTTTTCTATAATGCACCTATGAATGACATCTTGTCTCATCACCTTCCAATTATTTCTATGTTGGTGGTTTATGTTTTTTTAAAGCATGCTGTGGGTAGCATGCTGTGATGAAGGAGGCTTACCAGCTCTGCCCTTTTCTCTCAGTTTTGTGCTCACACATGCTCTGTCAGAAATTCTGGAGGCAGCTGGTCAACTCAAAAGTCTGTGTTTTTCCAGCCCTCTTTCGCTACCATCCCAATGCTACTTTAAAAGGTTTAGATAGATGGAGGACAAGGAAGAAAAGAGCTGCTGAGAGGGTATAGAAAGACTTCATTTTTTTTTAAAGCTTCATTATCAGGGCCTTTGTTCATAGAAGTTTGCCTATATATATTGCATAATCTAGGACCCCCTGGTGACGCAGCAGGTTAAACCACTGAGCTACTGAACTTGTTGACCGAAAGGGGAGTGGGGTGAGCTCCTACTGTTAGCCCCAGCTTCTGCCAACCTGGCAGTTCAAAAACATGCAAATGTAAGTAGATCAATAGGTACCACTTGTGCAGGAAGGTAACAGCACTCCATGCAGTCATGCTGGCCACATGACCTTGGAGGTGTCTATGGACAAGGATGGCTCTTCGGCTTAGAAATGGAGATGAGCACCATCTAAAGTTTGCACAATAAAACCAAGACAAGCATCACCATAACTTGGCAACAAGTGCTAAAACACAATGTCCTGTTTGTTGATCAGATGGAAGGAAATAGATGACTACATACAAAGATTGAAAATATTCCTTTTTTGGACTTCACCTTCCAGAATTTGAGACTTCTGCCTGAGGAATTCTGAAAATTACAGTCTGAAAAGTAACCTTTAGGCAGGGGCAAGATCCACTACACTCTACACAGAGCAGATAAGAGAGGTTTTTTTCTGGGTAGAAATAGACCACAACTTTATTGGGTTACAGTGTAGATAGGTTCAGTGCCCATGTGGGCCTAGATCAGGCATGGGCAAACTTCAGCCCTGCAGATGTTTTGGACTTCAACTCCAACAATTACTAACAGCTGGTAAACCAACTGGAATTACTGGAAGTTGAAGTCCAAAATGCCCAGAGGGCCGAAGTTTGCCCATGCCTGGTCTAGATCCAACCATCAACCAACCTGATGTTGATCAATGAGCTGGAAGCTCCATCCTGGTCATTCACTCTTTGGAATGGTGGGCGAGGATCCAGTTGTGCAGATACCCAATGTGGTCTTGCAGCCACCTGGGGAAGTGATACATCCTCTCCCAACTGGATGAAGCCACTAAACACCACCACTATCACCCCAGGGTCCTCAGGGCAGATGACCCCCTTCCTACAACAATGTCAATAAGACTGGTTACCCAATACAGGATCTTTCACCCATGCCAACTGCCTCCACAAAGTTGTGACAAATAGCTTAACATACTCATAACACAAATACGAGGTGGAGGAGGTGATACAAAGCTCTGAGCTGAGAGCCTGGCACTCTGTTCAAGTGGACAAAACTAGCCAGCAGTGAATTCAAACTCTAGTTTGAATCTATTGGTTAGTGCTTCCCACTAGTCAATCCCACCAAGCCCAAGTGGCTCTAGAAAGGAGGCAGCTGCTCAGCACTTTGAAGGCATCTATCATGCTGTGTTGCTCCTCTGCCATGTAACCACAGCTGCCCAGTAAGCCAAGCATCATGTTTCATCTTCAGCTGAAACCACTTTTTAATTTCAAAATGACTGTGCTTAATGTTACCGCATTAGCATTTTACCCAGTTTTAAGGGTGAGAGGTGGGGAAAATAATTTAATTTAATCCATTAGTGGCTCCCAGCCTTGAATGTATTGGTATCTGATACTGAGCAAGGGTTTTGTGATAACAAGGGCTTCTTCCTTTACAGCCCAGACAGCTGCAACTAGGCTCACTCACACAGTTTTCTTGAGCATGTACCTGAACACAGGAGTGATGTCTCATTGTAGAGGGTTTTTGTAATCTGGTCAGAAAAAACAAGATCCAGCCGTGAGCGTGACGTCCTCAGACTGGAATTTTCAGTGCAAATGTTTCATAGGAAAGGTAATTGGCAATTTAAGCCATATGACAAACTGTGATTGAATCAGGACTGGATTCGTATACTTCACAAAAGGTACAGATATTCCAGAGGAGATGACAGACGCACCCTGCTGTATGCGAGAAATTGGACTAATGATAGGAAGAGACCTTTACAGTCTAGATAAATTGCTTTGTAAATTATATTCTTAACTGTAGGCTCTTGTTTGGGAACAAACGTAATTGAAACCAATGGGACTTAATTTCTAAGTAAATGAGCTTAGGTTGCAATGTTACATTTGGCATACGCTGATTGTCTGACTGCCCTTGAAGTTAATGTCACCATCCACTTGATAGAGTCTAATCCATTGCTGCAGTAAATCAAGATCATGTCTGAACACTAGAGAGCAGCACCTAACAAGAAGTGAGGAAGGAAACAGAAATTGATAAAAGATGCTTCTGGGAAGAACAGCCTCCCACGTTTCACAGATGAATAGAATCATAGAGTTGGAAGAAACCTCATGGGCCATCCAGTCCAACCCCTTACCAAGAATCAGGAAAGTCATGTTCAAAGCAACCCTAACAGATGGCCATCCAGCCTCTGTTTAAAAGCCTCCAAAGAAGGAGCCTCCACCACACTCCGGGGCAGAGAGTTCCACTGCTGAACAGCTCTCACAGTCAGGAAGTTCTTCCTAATGTTCAGGTGGAATCTCCTTTCTTGTAGTTTGAAGCCATTGTTCTGCATCCTAGTCTCCAAGGCAGCAGAAAACAAGCTTGCTCCCTCTTCCCTATGACTTTCCCTCACATATTTATACATGATTATCATGTCTCCTCCTCAGTCTTCTCTTCTGCAGGCTAAACATGCCCAGCTGTTTTAGCCACTCCTCATAGGGCATGTTCTCCAGACCCTTGGTCATTTTAGTCACTCTCCTCTGAACACATTCCAGCTTGTCAATCTCGCTCTTCAACTGTGGTGCCCAGAATTTGACATAGTATTCCAGGTGTGGTCTGACCAAGGCAGAATAGAGGGGTAGCATGACTTCCCTGGATCTAGACACTATATTCCTATTTATGCAGACCAAAATCCCATTGGCTTTTTTAGCTGCAGCATCACATTGTTGGCTCATGTCTAACTTGTTGTCCACGAGGACAGCAAGTTCCTTTATATTGACTGTAATGTTTTTAATGCTTAATATGTATTAATTTTAATTTAATTTTAACTTTTAGTGGTATTGGAATTGTATGTGTTTTAAGGCATTGAATAATTGCCTATATGTCAGGCACCTTTTCCAATATCTTTTTCACACGTACTCCTGTCGAGCCATGAAAATCAGAACATGCGGTACAAGTAGCATCAGAATGTGGTCCGGATGGTAGAAGTTATCAGTGAAAAAGAACACACAAGTTAGGAGATGTTGCAGCAGTTTGATTTTGCCTGAGTAAATTTGGAAGGGCAAATATATTTTCCCCTGAATAGTTGAGGATAACTCACTGTTGTGCTTTGAACTCAGCTTATAACTTTTTTTTGTTCATGCTTCAGATATTATCTCATCTTAAACCAGGCACGAGGAGCTTTTAGTGTTCCACATGTTTTGGACTTTAACTCCCAGAAGCTCAAGACATTATGGCAAAGAGTAAAGTGTTGTGGGAATTACATGCAGAAAATGTCTTGTTATATTTCCAAGTTCCAAATTGTGTAGCATTTTAACTATTAGCACCATAACCTTTCTGAGCCTTCAATTTTCTGTCATCTCTGCATCAAAAGTGGCACCAGCTGGAACCTCACTCTTGAGTATAACTGTCAAGTTTATACTTTCTCCTTAAATAAAGTATGTTTCTCCAAGTCATTCAACAATACAATTAATGTCATCTGTGAATAAATAAAAGAGGAAAGTGATGAATAAGGTAAACAAATTGTGAAAAAGTACAAGCAGATAGAATAGAATGGAAGAGTGATGCAACCGTCCTATTTCATGTAGCCTCATTTCAGTCTAGTCTTGTCTTGTCTTTCTTTCCTTCTTTCCTTCCTTCCTCCCTCCCTCCCTTCCTTGCTGGGTGGGAAGGGAGAGGGGGAAGACTCGAAAGTGGGTAGCCAAAAGAGAAAAGGGGTGGGCCTCTTACTTTTGCCTCTGGCCCAAAATGAATCCCTTGAGTGATCCCATGTGTGATCTCCACCAGATTTTTAAAAATGCAATTGGTCTCCACATGAAGAATGTGCTTTTGCTCATGTCAGTGAATATACCTTGCATTTTGTATATGGCAGTTTCTCATACCTAATTGTCCCAGCAGAGATGCTAATACCTTTCTTTTCCACAGTTGGGTGTTCCTGCATGAGAAGGCCTATCAAATAAGGGACACCTCCATTGAGTCCTCTGTAGTGACAAAAGTGAAGGGTTTTGGCAAATACAGCAACCGTGTGATGGACACCGCAGATTATGTTACACCTCCGCAGGTAAGTTCTGACAAAGATCTATGAGAAGGGCATTGAAGGTTGGACATCTTATGAGGCAGGAGGTGGCTCAGCAACTTGGCTTGTTAAATAGAATATAGAATAGCATAACCCCAAACCACAATTCCTCTGTACATAAACAACTGAGTTTGAACCTGCCTAGATGGTTGCATCATATTTGTAACTAGCGACAAATGGTTTTAAACACATGTACGTGCAACTGAAATGTTCTGTGCTAATATTACCTGAATACAGAATTTTGTTCAAAGCAGGGGCTCTGGAAATCTGTTCAGATAAGTAGTGCCTGACTGATTTCAAGTTCAGATGTGCTTCATTTATACAATACAATGAAGTCAGGTGATTAGGGACAAAAGTACAGCTATACAGGTAAGATGAGTCTTTCTGGTAGATGTGAGGCAGCTAGCTATTGGTAGCAGCAGAACTGCATATAAAAGTTATCGGAGCTTTGAGTCAGAATATTCTGTGGATTTACGTTCTGGTTTTGTTGTACCTTCAGCATCACATTTGGGACAGGTCAGTGAGCACAAGCAATTTTCTGTTCTAAATATATACTGTACTTCACAGGACCGCAAATGACCCTCTTTCTCCACCACCCCCCAACCTCTACTGCAATCACAACAGAATTGTTTGGTTTTTTTCCCGTTTCCCAGCTGAGCAGGATATTCCCCAATCAAGCTCAGGCCCATTAGGAATCCAAAGCATACGGAGTGAGAAGTTTAGATGGATTTTAAATATACTGTAGGTAAAAGCTGACGTTTCCATCAATAGCTGAACTGAACCCATCTTCTGTCTCAGAAGTGTGCAAATAATTGCTGGAAAAATAGCAAACAGCTGGATTGGTGGGCTAGCATCCCACCTGTCATATAATGCAGTCTGAAACTGCAGTACATGTTCAGTGTGAATAGGGCCTTGGTCAAAACTATGGGTTCCAAAGCTATCTGCCAGTTTTGAGAGATAGCTGGCTGAACCTGCTAAAGAGCATGTGCATGCTCAATGGCATCTACTAAGAGATGATCTGACATTCCCCTACTCTTTCCCAGTGGCTTCTACTTTTCAGTCCCTTTACATATTAGACTGGTCACCAAATTTCAATATACAACCCTGTTAAAAGTCTTCACACTTGCTCCTGTTTGGATATATGCAGCTTCCTTGATGTGTAGGCATGTTCTCCCTAATGCAAATAGCCAACTACTGAATTTTTACAGGTCAGCGGAGGAGGGGATTGTTTCAATAGGATTTAGAATAATTGCCACAAATTCAAAAACAACTTCTTGCTCAGGATGGAAGTAACTTGAGGCTGTTGTTGTTTTTTGATCTATGATAAAGTAGAACTGCGGAACTTTTCTATCTACTGGAATATGTCCATGTGTATTAGAAAGAGCCACATGAGAAAGAGAGAGAGAGAGAGAGAAAGGGGGAAGAGAAAACTTGAGAGAGATGCTGTTTCTATAAGCTAGTTGGACCTGTGGTACAGTCTTGTCATTACTTTGAATATTTGTATGCATTTTATAAAATAAATATAGCAAAAATAATCAGATAAGTGTAAGTAGGACAAAAATGTAATTCACAAAGGTTACAAGATGTAGACAAAGGCACCTTAAGATATCGAATGTGTGGGACTGGTAATATTTTTCATCATTGTATGATGGACCAGTATCATATTTGTGCTCATTGGCTACAACTGTTTCTTTCTTGGAAATTTGACATAGGCTGGCAGCTGGTGGATCATATACCAGCATTGCTCCATAGAGCACCACTTTTGAATAGCATCAATCTGGAGAACACTGGAGGAAGTAATGGGGCAGTATCAGACCATAGATTAGTATGAAAATAATTGTAAAAACCATTAGGTAAAGGTAGAGGTTTTTCCTTACCTTAAGTCCAGTCGTGTCTGACTCTGGAGGTTGGTGCTCATCTCCATTTCTAAGCCGAAGAGTCGGCGTTGTCCGTAGATGCCTCCAAGGTCATGTGGTTGGCAATAAAATAAATGGGAAAAATCTGCTGCTTTTTGCTGTTGTCTCTGTTTACCTCCTATGTCACAGGTGTCAAGTGCAAGGCCTGCAGGCCGCCACCCCCCCCACCCACCCCCCCCATACACATATAATATATGTGACCTGTGAAGCTTTCAATGCCAAAACAACAAAGTTACATTTATACAGTTTTAGAATTACAAATGGCCCCTTGAAGGCAACCATCAGGCTGATGTGGATCTCAGTGAAAATAAGTCTAACACCCTTGTGTATTTGTGAATAAAACTAATACGACAAAGGCACCATCACCTTCAATTTCTCTTTTAGCTGGAAGTAACTAAAATTCTGGAACACCTTGCTCCTCAGTATGTATGTTTTTACATATAGATAGATCTTCATTCTTTCTTTCTTTGATACATGTGCTATAAAAGTACACCTTCACTTATAGTTTGGTCAGTTTGGCTTCCTTCAAAGCTAATATATTTTTAAAGTAAAAACTGAAGGAAGAAACCTCCAGTTAGATCCAGTGTCAAGGCTTGACATCACTAGGCAGCATCTTAAGGGTCCATAGTGTAATCCCTGTTGTCTTTTTGCTGCCAGGCAGATCTTGTTTTGTTGTAGGTTTTTCAGGCTGTATGGCCATGTTCTCGAAGCATTCTCTCCTGATGTTTTATCTGCATCTATGGCAGTCATCCCCTGAGGTTGTGAGGATGCCTGCCATAGATGCAGGTGAAACGTCAGAAGAGAATGCTTCTAGAACATGTCCATAGAGCCCAAAAAAGCTACAACAACCCAGTGATTCTGGCCATGAAAGCCTTCAACAGTACAGATCCTGATTTTTTTTTCTCCTTTGCCCAATGCCGGGGTGCAATTAGCTGCAGCCCATGTTTAAGTACCCTCCTAATGCCTCGAGAGTTCTAGCTTAGCATTCCTTCAGAGAGATGCTACACCATGGTAACTGCAAGGAGATTTAAATGGAAGATGCCATCTGCAGCTCATGCTTGCCAACGAGAGCACTATGTTTGTTATTGCTAACGCTGGGGCAACACCATCAAAGAAGAAATTACACCCATACTCACACAAGCATGCCATCTCACACTTCTACCAATAGAAAAAATCAGAGATAGGAACCAATGATTGAAAATCAACTAAATTATCAACTGAGTTGGAAATTTTCTAATGGAAATGGGGTTTCAGCTGTTATTAGTTCATTAATTCATCAAGAAACAGTGTTAGATTTGCCATTTTCCACCTGGCATTTGAATTTTTGAAAAGGTTTTTTTTTACTTTTAGTTTGTCCCTCAAGACTGGAAGATGATAGTGTTTAGGTCACAAGATCCAAGCCAATTATTTTGCTCTTATTAAGTTGTTCTTTCAGCTGCCCTTATTTTAGTTCATTATTAGAGTAGGATCATGTAATTAATTCCGGAGTTAATTGATTTTACACAAGAAGTAGTAAGGGCAGCTTGGAAGATGAACATACATCACGGCATTTCCATCCTTTTTTTCCTATGCATTTTCATGTGAACCAACCAACACTTGCCCAATTCTACTTATTTACCATTTTTACTGAGCTCCATGATTTCTTTGGATATTAATCCTTAATAGTGTTACACGGAATTGTGCTTGCATGATTGCTCTTATTTTTTAAAATAATGTTTTAAATAATGTTTTAAAAAACATGCTGGTGAACAGAGAATAAATATACAGTGTGTTTCTTAGGAATCTTGCTATACTCCCAGCTTATGAAGTTAATCTTCCTTATCTACAGTTTTGATCTATAAAATTAACTAACCACAGCTCAACAACATTTTCTAAAAAATCCAAGATGTGGTTTTGCCATGTGCCAAACACTATGCTGATGTGTAGGTGCACCCTGCTGTGGCCTCCCACTATTTCACAGATCCTCAAACTCTCTCTAGGATTTTTTAAAGTTGTTTATCATTTTAAATATTGTATATGATGGAACATATTATGATTAATTATTATTATTAATTTTATTTATACCCTGCTTTTCTCACCATGGGACTCAAGATAGCTAACAATTCCACCTTGTAGTCATAGTTAAAAAGTGCAATATAGAAAATAAAAAACAAAGAATACTGTGTGGATTAAGGTAAAAAAAACCTGGTGAAAATATAATAAATACACTTAAAATATAATTTAAAACTCACAGCCCCCCCCCCCCGAATTCCACCCACACTTCCCCAGCACCCTGCCCCTTATTCTTCCCCTAATTTCTGTTGGCAGAAGAAGGTCTTTAGCTGCTTTTGAAAGGCCAGCAGGGATGGGGCCCTCCTGGTCTCACTTGGGAAGGAGTTATACCATCTGGGAGCAGGCATAGAAAAGGCCCTCTCCCATGTTCTCACCAAGCACGATTAAGCAGGTGGTGGGACAGAGAGAAGGCTCTCGCCAGCAGACCATATATTTCTAACAGGTTCGTAGTATCCATGGATTTTGGAACCAAATTCCAATGGATACTGAGGGCCCAGTGTAGTCTCATATTTATCTGCTTGAGATCCCCGGGGAGTCCCAAGAGATGTGCAGGGCCCACGATGCTCCCAATATCTCAGCAAAGTAGAATGAAAAATCACACCAAAAGTGGTTACTATAATAATTATTATTATTACTTGCTTATTTATTTATTTATAAGCCACCCTATCTCCGGGGGGTGGGGGGGGGGGACTCAGGACGGCTTCCAGGTAAAAAGGCCTTGGTGATAAATAAACACATACATTAAAAACAGTACAAGGTATCATTATAAACCCATAAATTACTAAACAAGAAAATAAAATTAATAATTAAATAAGCATACTGTAATTATCTAAACAGACACATAAGCTCCATAAAAACCAACACTACCAAAATGCATAATATAAGTAAAATGATTCAAGATGATTTATAGCAACCTTCAGGGTCAAAGTAAAATTGCCACCGTCCCAGAAGGTTGTCCTTACAGTGTCCTAATCCATAGCAGGATAGAAGGTCATTAATAGATTGCTTCCAACAGGAAAAGAATTATATTTTCTAAACAACAGTGGTAGAATCCATGGGAGTGACGACAGTGTGATGAGCTACAGAACTAAAGCAGTGCAATCACAGAATAACAGTATTGTGTGATAACCTCTATAGAGACCCTTCCTCTGTCCTAGGACACTTTGGCTTTTTAAAAATTCCATGCAGAAATAAATAAGCTAAATAAAATGTTGGTGAAAGGAGTTGAGAGAGAGAAAGGGAATGCAAAAGGTACAGATTCCATGAAATGGCTGGAAAATAGGTTTTTTAAAATCCATGAAGCTTTTGCTTCCCTCCCTGGTTCAAAATGAGGACAAGCTGGAGATGGGTAGGGGTAAAATGATAGTTTCATAGTCATAAGGCATTTACTGCAGGCATTTAATTTAAATGTAAATGCCAGTTTAATATAAACTAAATACTTCAGTTGTTTGCCATCCTAATGTAGATGCAATGGAATGAGATTTGGTAGCTTACCAACAATTAAGTAAACGCAGTAATTCCTATCTATTAATTTCCCCGTCTCTGGAAATGATACTGTACAAGCAATCTGGTTGACATTAAGGAGCTGGTATTTGGAAATGAGAGAACATGAATACAGTGCATGTAGGCTGGATTTATGAAATCAACAGAAAGAAAGCAGCATAGTCAGTTCCTGTGCTTTTAACAACTCAGTCAACAGAAATCAGCAAGCAAGCCTGTTCCCATTATGGACATAAGCATTAACGCTACCTTATATCTGCATGCCATGCTCTTGATAAAGGCATTTTATCATTACCCCTCGTTCCCATGTTCATGTTATGTTCACGGTTCAAACCAAAATGGCATCAGCAAATACACAAGAGGGGAGAAACAGCAGGCTTGGTAAACACCATATTCTTCATAACTACACAAAACATTTTAGGGAGGAAAGTATCTTTGAAGTGAAGAGGAACCCCACAAAAGAACTGTCTGAATAATCAGATCCACAAAAGTTTAACTCACAAATATGGAAGGCCAACTATATTCTGAGCTGCAACACTGAGTTACAGACTTGTCTTTTTGAACATTAGAAAACAAACTCCTACAAAAGTGACAGTTTAATACATAAATAGTCTTGGATCTTATGAGTAACTTTCTTCAATGTACAAAGAAGGATTATGTGGTGAAGCAACAAAGGGGAACTGACACACCCAGGAACGGGGGAGGAGTCAACATATTTTCAAGCTGAAAACAGAAATCAGTTATCATTTCATTTTTGTTTTTCCCATCCTTGAGTTAAATGCCTGGAATATGAACATGTAGTATTGTGTAAGCTTGTCCATCTTTCCAGATTTTCCATTTCTAAATGTAGGATCTGTGCTTATTACAAGATTACTCCTTATTCTAGCCTTTAATAGAAATTATATACATTATGACCCCAAAATCTTTATAACAACAACAACAACTTTATTTTTATACCCTGCCAACCATCTCCCCAAGGGGACTTGGGGCGGCTTACAAGGGACTAGCCCAAAATTTACAATAAAACACAACAAATTAAAACATTGAATATGAAAATATAAAAACAGTCACAATTGTAAACCAACATCAGGCAATATGGCTGAGATAAAGAACATGCTGAGATACAGGCTCACTGAGTACAATACATTCTGAAGGGCCAATGCTTCCAGTTTCACTTATCAACATCCAAAAAAAGTTCTCTAAACATTTTTTAGGTCTTCCAGTAAAATTTTATAGTATGCTTCTGCCAGAGAATGACCATAGAGTCCTGCTGGCACACCTAAAAACTGTTAGAGAGGTATTCCCTCTAGGCATTTTCTGGGTCCTCCAGTGTGAGTCTATGGGATGTTTCCCCTGGAGGGGTCATTTCCAATAGAGTTCATGATTATCCACACTTCTGCATTTCCACAATAAGTCCAGGAGTATATCCCATGTGGATAAGGAGGTCACACTGTGCTTTGTTTTTATCTAGCCTTCCTATAAGCAGTTCAGGATAGGATAGATGCTGGTCTTTCACTTCATTATATTTATGAGATATATGAAGTTGGAAGAACATGACAATCTGAATATCACTGACCAAATTCCCCAGAGTTTTAAGCAGAGAGATCTACAATTATCACAGACAAAGAAGCTAATTTAGATTCTCCATGGTACTATGAGAACCCCATCTTAAGCCAGATGGCAGGTACATAACAAAGTTTGCCTCTTTCAGTGGCATGCAACCACTGAATCTGCTTACTTGTTTAAGGAAAGAAGTTACTCCTTATTAAGAAAAATGTACTGAGACAGTTAGAGGTAAGTTAGGTCTAGCTTTAAGTAACTAGTGATTAGGTTAAAGTGACAAGGAGCCATGTCTGTTCTCTCTGATCTTGGAACAAAGACAAGATATATTCTTGGAGGAGCATAAAAAGGTGACATCGGCAACCTAAGGGGTGCATCTGCACTGTAAAATGAATGCAGTTTTACAGTGTGGCTCAGTGCTATGGAATCTTGGAAATTGTAATTTGGGGTGGTACCAGCAAATTTAAGCACCAAGGATTAAAGACATGAAATTACAATTCCTACAATCCCATTGCATTGAGCCATGGCAATTATAGTAGTGTCAAACTGAATTAATTCTACATCATAGATGCACTCTTAGTTAGAAAGAAGATCAGGACGTGAAAAGCCAGTGGAGCATCCAAGAAGTCTGCCTATGCCTACCCGTGTATGCAAAGGTATCTTAAATGTGAGTTGCACCTTTCTCACCTGCAACAGTACTTCCAACGCCTCACTCTGTCATTTATTTTGTGGGTTTCTTTGTCCCTGTGCCCTTGAATTCAACAACATGACATCTTTTTTCCTTCTCCGTCATTCCACACCCTGCCCCCAATCTTGCCCTCTTCCCTTTAGGGAACATCAGTCTTTGTTATCATCACCAAACTCATTGTGACAGAAAACCAGGTACAAGGCTTCTGCCCAGAGGTGAGTAGGGGAAGCAAGGAGGAGGCAAGGGAGCTGAACTGCAGATGTGTTTTCTCCTGGCTCATCCAGATTCTCATGGCTGAGTTGTTTTTTTGCACTGAAAGCAGCATGCAGGATGGGAGAGGAACACATCCTAGTTATTTTTATAAGGTTATAAAGGAAGCAGTTGGCCAAGATTGGAATCAGAACCTGGTAAAGTGCCCTTTTTTACTGCAACTCCCTGAATTTCCTAGCCATCATAGCTCTTCTGCCTGGAATATTGTTGGACGTGTCCAGAATACCCTAAGCTTCCCAGGCTACAAGTTTAGAAAGCTGCTGTATATTGAATCAGATGATTGTCCCATCTGGCTTGTGATGAATGAAAATGCAATAGCTTTCCAGGTTTTTAACATAGCGTTCTTCCTGGCTCTTACCTGGAATACCTGAAACTGAATATGAAGCCTTTTTGCATGCAAAGCATGTTGACTGTCATGGTGAAATTATTGGTGGGAGGTAGTATTGACAGATCTCAGGGCCTGGCCCTAAGCCCTAAGGTTTTTGTGAGTCATCTCCAGGCAGAAGACAAGGTGCAAACTCTCCACTTTTAGGGCATTTAGTTCCAGGGCAGGAGGAAAGGGTTGGAGGAGAGCCTGGTAGAAGATAAGGGGGTTCCAGTCTGTGGATTTCATTAATGGACTTCCAGCTTTTCCCCACTAATGTGTTGGATTCATTGCAAATGAGACACTAAGGTGGGCTCTCAGGAATCCAAGCATCTCAGAAAAGCAGCAAGAGAACACGATAAATGGAAACAAAAATATAAATACAAGAGGTTTGTAGTCTTGGCAGACCTTTGCTCTTTGTATTTCAGAATCAATATGAATACAAATGTAAATCAAACAACGATTGCAAGAGGCCTGTCCCCACCACAGGAGGAGGTAAGCCAATTATGCTACCTGAGAAAAAGAAGCGAAGTACTACTTAAGATCCAGTATTTGCTGAAGCAGCATTTCAAAAAGGAATGGTTTTCCTTAAAAACTAGATGTATGGGATGCCCCTAGTTTTTAAAGCTAGATGGCGTTTCGGGAAGCACAGCTCACCTTGACAGCATTCCAAGGACTCCACTTTGTTTTGAAAATAAATTGCTGTATATTTATTTTATTGTTTCCGACGAAGCTTATTTTGCAGTAATGGAGACAGATACCTCTCCAAAAAACCTATGGTCTCAGACATGACTTTAGGAGCCCCCAGTGGTTCAGTGGGTTAAACCCTTGTGCTAGCAGGATTCAAATCTGGAGAGAGTGTAGATGAGCTCCCTCTGTCAGCTCCAGCTCCCCATGCTGGAACATAAGAGAAGCCTCCCACAAGGATGGTAAAACATCAAACATCTGAGCATCCCCTGGGCAATGTCTTTGCAGACGGCCAATTCTCTCACACCAGAAGTGACTTGCCATTTCTCAAGTCGCTCCTGACACACATACACACAAAAAAAAGCCATGACTTTGAGTTCATTTTTTTTCTGCTGTATGATTCTAGAAGTTGTAATCTACAATGACATATGAAATAGTTTGAGATAAGAAAAGTAGCATGGTAAGTGTGTGTGTGTGTGTGTGATTAATGTAGAAGTTTTGTGTTCAATAATAATAATAATAATAATAATAATAATAATAATAATAATAATAATAATTTATTTCTATTCTGCTCTATCTCCCCAAAGAGACTCAGGGCAGATTCCAAACATAAAAGGCAAACATTCAATGCCCGAATACAGCAACAATACAGACATGCTAACAAAATTTATACAGCCCTGGATTTCAAATCCTAACTTTGCCTATACATTTTGGCTGTTGTCCTATTGGATGTTTAACTTTCAGCCTCAGTACATCATCTATAAAATCAGGAAAATCTCAACTGTTCTCATGGGATTTTAATGTGAAAGAAAGTCCATCAAGAGTTTGGAGTGGTCTGTACATTATAAAGTCACTACACATTAACAGTTTCAGTTGTGAACTTTTTTGGATATACACATTCAAACAGAGCTAACCCAAAACAAGATGTCCTTCATCACAAACTTGACAATGAGCTCCTATGTCTTGGTCTAAATGTAAGATGGCAACATATTTGCAAGAAAGTTCTCTAGTGATCACGTAAGGAGATACAAAGTGAGATGCAACTGATTTTGCTGTTTGAGATGCCTATTTATTCCTCAGTAGGTTTTGAAATAAGAGGTGACTTTATGTTGTATTTTGACTTTTTGGACTGAATGCTGCTATTACTGCCAACTAGTGGAGCCATTGAATCAATGAAACTTACATAAAGGTTGACTTTAATGACTTACCAAGTCACCATTGATTTATCAGGTCTATTCTAGTTGGGACTATCAAGGATGTTTAAGCCATGCTGTTACCCTTCAATGACAGAATATTTCCATCTGCAGGGATCCTGACAGGTCGGTGTGTTAATTACAATGCCACTTTCCGGACCTGTGAAATCCAGGGCTGGTGCCCAGCAGAGGTGGACAATGTTGCTGTGTAAGTGGTTATCTGGAATAGCCCATGATTTTCTCACCATTCCCCAACTGATTCAATGGGTCTACTCTACTTAGGACGAAACCACAGGAGTCTGTCTTCCCTGTGGCAGCCATATTTAAACAGGGGGCTAAAAAGGTCCTGTGTTGGAGAAAAAGGGGTTCATAGGTGTGTTTTTAAACAGCTTGCATGATTTATATTTATTTCATTTTACTTATTTAATTTATTATTCCATTCTCCTGAAATGGAAGAATAAGGGCACAGCATCCTGACAAAGTGAAATCTTGAAGGAATCAAAATGATATGAACCAACCTGGACATTGCATATTATTTGAGAACACAGAAATGCTGGACCACTCTAACAATCACCATGTCAGGCTACACAGAGAAGCCATTGAAATCCACAAGCATGTGGACAATTTCAACAGAAAGGAAGAAACCATGAAAATGAACAAAATCTGGCTACCAATATTTTAAAACTCTAAAATTATAACAGTAAATAAAGAACAAAACTCAAACACAGGGGAACTCCAGACATGAAACAATCAGGAATAGCTAATCACTTCTCGAGAAAGAATTCCCCCAGGCAGTAACAGGGCACATCTAAAAACTGTCAGGCCATGAAGTGCTAATCAAGGTGGCCAATTGAAACATTCACACCTAGCTCCAACAGACAAGAGTTCTTTCTCCCATCCTGGACTTTCCACAAATATATAAACCTAATTTTCCTAGTTTCCAACAGACCTCACAACCTCTGAGGATGCCTGCCATAGATGCAGGCAAAATGTCAGGAGAGAATTCTTCTAGAACATGGTCATACAGCCTGAGAAACCTACAACAATCCAGTGATTCTGGCCATGAAAGCCTTCGACAATCAAAATGAGAGCTTTGCAACGTTTCTTTTTCAGACCACAAGTCCTAGAATACTCTTGTCAGCATGGTCCATTCAGGAGCACAATTCAGCTTGAAAACATTTCAGTGGTGCAGTGAGGGTGAGAAGAAACATATTGGTACAACCCCCACTCTATGGATGCAGGCTCTCCCATGGTTTAGAGTTTACTTTTATGCTCCCCTTGTCCCAGATTTAAATTCACATTAAGTTGCTTGTCATTTATTTGTGCTTGTGATGAACATACATGCTCATGGAATCTCATCTGCTTCAACTTCAACAGGCCCACAATGTGGACTAGGATGGAATATTTGATTCAGTCATAATATCTGTGTGTTATGTATTTTCCATTTTTCTACAGAAAACTATGACTATTTCAGACATTGGCAACCCAAAGATTCTGTTTTGAGCATTTTCTTTTTTAAAATGTACTTTTAAAAAAGTATACGTTGCAGTTTCCATTTCAAGTGCCCCCAACCAGAATGGACATTGTGCATTTTACATGATACATTTACATTATGGATTAAACAGATTCCATGGTTCTTTGGAATGGAGTTGTCACAATCAAGTGGGATCAATCTGATGCAAAACCATAGTGCTCTTTCTTTGGCGGCTTTAAACAGAGGCTAGATGGCCATCTGTCGGGGGTGCTTTGAATGTGATTTTCCTGCTTCTTGGCAGGGGGTTGGACTGGATGGTCCACAAGATCTCCTCCAAGTCTAGGAGTCTATGATTTTAAAATGTATTTCCTTAAGATAGATAGAGAACAGTTATTTGGCGGAATCTCTACCTCTCTCCTTGTCTTTCCCTGTCTCCTATAGTTTGCATTCACTTCTGTTCCATAAGGCTGACTTTACTCCTGTTTCTTCTTACAGGCCAGTCATGCTAGAGGCAGAAAACTTCACCCTCTTTATTAAGAACAGTATACGCTTTCCACTGTTCAACTTTGAAAAGTGAGTAAAGGGGCTCCATCCCACACATCGGAACCCCAAACCTTCAACCAGAGTTTTGATTCCCAATAAATATTAGGTAGAGTTGGGTTGGAGTTTACCTTCTGGCTTGTTCCTTAGAATAGCAGGAGGCCACATAAAAGCACTGGCGCAGTGTCAATACTAGAACATGGCCATACAGCCCGAAAACCCTACAACAACCCAGTGTCAATACTGCCACAACCCTAAGTTTAAAAACCAATATATCCCATAATAAGACATATGGTTGACTCAATTGTTAGTGCCTGTTTAGTATCTGGAGGACCTCACTCCAACTCAAAAGCCTATTGAGAACCTAGGTTCAGCTTTTTGTACTCAAATGCCAAGCAAACATCTATGTAATGACAATTCCAGGCAATCCATATTAGCTTTATAATTCAACTTGCCACTGAGAAGGATAATGGGTCAGTAGTCTGTCCCAGTAAGCTTGCCCCACATTATCATTATTATCATCATCTTTATTTCTAGTCCTCCATCTCTCCCTGGAGGAACTCAGGGTGGTTTACACATAAAAAGACAAACATCCAATGCCTCAAAATAATACAGGATAATGGATAGTAACAGCAGAAAATTTACAATGTAGGAATTAAGCATCAAAATAAAATAAAGACATAAAGACACACTAAAACATAAAAAACTAAAACATAAGTAAACTTTACAATATACACCCTTAAAGCAAATTAAGAGACATTACATTAAAAATGGCCGACACTGGTGCTTCTTTTAAGATGTATCATAACAGCCATATAATACAAGTGGGTTAGCTAGTATTTAAAGTGTCCTAGTCCTTCTCCTCTCCATATGCTAAAGTGCATAGGTGCATTTTTAGAAGTTCCTTAAAGGAGAAGAGAGAGGGGCGTTTTTATTTCTTTAGGGAGGAGTTCCAGAGATGGGGAGTGATCACAGAGAAGGCCCCTCTCTTGTTCCCACCAACCTAGCTTGTGGCGGGGGTGGGATTGAGAGGAGGGCCTCCTCTGTAGACTGCAGTACATGTGATGGTCTATACAGGGAGATGTAATTAGACAACTAGCCTCAACTTAGCAATTGCCTCAAAACTCTTCAGACCAGGCTTCACCATGTGTCATCTCTGGTTGGTTGTAGATGAAGGGACGGGTTGGAAATATGAAATCTGAGCCTCATTGTGCCCAGCTTAGCATTGTTTCACTTCTGCCTTCCCTGCTCTCCCTCACTTACCAGTGGTTCTCATTTTATATATATTTATATATATACTAATTTCTTTCCTCTCCTTCCCAGAGGCAATCTCCTTCCTAACCTCACAACTGAACACATTCAGAAATGCCGATTTCACCCAGAAAAGCAGCCGTTCTGCCCAATCTTGCGTCTTGGGGACATCGTGAAATTTGCGGGCCAAAACTTTTCATCATTGGCTATGACGGTGAGAATGTGTGCTACCAAGATGTGATGTTGTCATGGATGCCATTGGCAAGAAAATGGCCCAGGCACAATTTTTAAAATGTAAGAGTTTTGGGGCTTCTTGAGGGGGCAGACTTTGGGACTTAGAGTTCCCAGATGCCGCGGTTTGCTCATCCTTCTTCCAGAAGCTGTTGAACAGCAAACCTTACAGTTCTTTACCAATGGATATGCTGATGGGAGCTGCAATCCAAGGACACCTAGAGAACCACACTTTGCTGCAGATTAATTACTACTCATTTGCAGGCAACCATTACCCATTCAGGTTCACTGTTCAAATCCGGGGAGTGGGGTGAGCTCCCACTGTTAGCACCAGCTTCTACCAACCTAGCCGTTCAAAAACATGCAAATGTGAGTAGACTCATAAGTACTGCTCCGGCAGGAAGGTAACGGCACTCCATGCAGTCATGCCAGCCAAATGACCATGGAGGTGTCTATGGACAACTCTGGCTCTTAGGCTTAGAAATGGAGATGAGCACCACCCCCCCAGAGTCAGACACGACTAGACTTAATGTCAAGGGGTAACCTTTACCTTTAGGGATCCTCACTCCAAGTGTAAAGGTGAGTTAGAAAAACAGCAAAGGGAAGAGTCTACCTCTCTATTATTTTTAGTGTTTCCGACTGCAGCAGAGCACAGGAGTGTTCATTGGGAAATTGGTCCATGTTAGATCTGAGAGTGTGTCTTTAGAATTGACACTGTGTTCCCTGCCTTTGCTGGGCAATTTCAAATCTGTATGAATAGTTTTCTCCTAAAGTCTTGTCTTTTCTGCGCAGGGTGGAATAATTGGGATCAAGATTGGATGGGTTTGTGACCTGGACCATTCTGAGGAGCACTGCATCCCCCGCTATTCCTTTAATCGACTCGACAGTGTCTCTGAAAAGAGCAAAGTGTCTAGAGGTTACAATTTCAGGCAAGTTGAAAGCTGCAGTCCTGAATCAAAGCTACCCCCAGAAATGCCTCCTTCCACTGCAATCTTTTATGAACTAAGATTCCTCCCTACAGACTCCCAGCTTCACTGTGACTTGCAAGCATGCAGTCCCTTAGCCTCACCTGCCCACCCACAGGCCTTTCATCTGGATTCCTGAGACACAGAGTTTATTTCACAGAAGTTACACACATAAGTCTATGGATGCAAAGAATATTGGTAGATTTCTTCATCCAGTCAACATTCTTTTGAAAATATTGTTCACCCCTCTGCAGGAGTGAAAAGAGTAGCAGGTGTTTTAATTCATAGCAAAAAGATGTTTGCATTCATAGAGAGATAGTTCTGAGTGTGCAAAACATGTTCTGCACAAAAGCAATGGTTAGAAGATCTGCAGAAAAACCCTTGTAATTTCATCAAGTAGAAAGAATACTTTTGAAAATTTTTGTATGTAGAAATGACAAAATAAGCAAATATCTACATTCATCCTTAAGAGGTATCTAACATGTATTCGAATTAATGTGTGCTCATACTTCCATGTAGTTGGACATAGGGGATGACTTGATGCTAAATTAATATATGCTTTACATACAGAAAGTCCCTACTTTATAGAATCATAGAATAGTAGAGTTGGAAGAGACCACATCGGCCATCTAGTCCAACCCCCTTCCATACAGGAAAAGCACAATCAAAGTTCCCCTGACAGATAACCATTCAGCCTCTATTTAAAAGTCACCAAGATAGGAGTTTCCAGCACACTCCGAGTTCCACTGCTGAACAGCTCTTACAGTCAGTAAGTTCTTCCAAATGTTCAGGTGGCATCTCCTTTCCTGTAATTTGAACCTATTGCTATGAGTCCTAATCTCCAGGGCAGCAGGAAACTTGCTTGTCCCCTCCTCCTTGTATATATTCTCAAGTAACAACTGATAGGAAACACTCTTTGATTTGAAACTTCATAGTACCTGCCATGCAGAGCAGACAATACCGGGCTTGATAGACAAGTAATCTGACTGCCTCTAATGTATTTTTGGATCTTTTATTGTCCTCATTTTTTATAGCACACCAGCAACTACTTCACTGTGTGCAATTTCAGAGATGGAAAACACACAACCTTCCAAATGTTTTTAGACCTAGTCAGCTCTAGTCAGCATATTCTAGTCAGCATATTCTCTACTGAGGAATGCTGGGAGTTTCAGCCCATGATTCTGGAGATCTGCACAATTCATATCACTTCAGGTACTACAGGCCCGTAGCCAGGATTTCGTTTCAGGGGGGGGTAAATTTTTTTTCGGGGGGGTTGGGGGGCTGAGTTTTGGGGGGGCTGAGTCTGAGTGAAAGAGGGTCTAGCCTAGCAAACCTTTTGTATCATTACCCCAATACCCCCAATGCATATGGGATATATTGAGTATGGTGATCAGATCATGATATGAATAAACATAACAGTTTAAATAATGCACCAGTAAGGCCTTTTCGCGAACCACCATGAAAATTTCGGGGGGGGGGGGGCTGAAGCCCCTCAAGCCCCCCCCCCCCCCCCGGCTACATGCCTGGTACACAGATGGTCCTGAAAAACCAGGAGACACTCTGTTATAGCCACAGAACCAGCTGGGTCTCCTTTTGTATCACTATGCCAAAATCTGATTGCTTGAGTCCCCAAAGAATATGCTGCTCTAAAACCTCACCATTGCCTTTCTGTTACATGAGGGATGTGTCCAGACATGGTGCTGGCGTAAACAGGTCATGTACATGTGAGGATCCATGCTCACTTTTCTCTTGCCCACAGGTATGCCAAGTACTACAAGCGAGAGAATGGCACAGAGTTCCGCACACTGATGAAGGCATATGGCATTCGCTTTGATGTTCTGGTATATGGCAATGTGAGTGAACCTGCACAAATCCAAATCAATATGTGAAGAGAGGGCTGTTGAGAGAAGCCAGCTCCCAGGGCTAATTTTAAGCAGGACTAGAGCAGCAGTAGTCTTTGAGATATTATAATTCTCATTATTCTGAGCCAGCATAGCCAGTGATGAAGATTTAGGAAGGTACAAAGTAAGTGAAAATCTGGGTAACCATGGTTGCCTATTGCTGATATTTTCATATGCCCTCATTGGCCAACCCTGATTCCCCTGCAGTCATTGAAGAAGAAAAAAAAGCTGAGGCAGCAAGGAAGCTTGTTCAAGCCTCCCCTTCTGAATTAGAACCTTCCTTTGTGAGTAAGATGAAATATTAATTAATTAATCAATTAATTAATTGATCAGAATTGCATTGGGAACAGTGTACATATGCCTAACAGGCATATTTGCTCTTTAAGTCCTTTGGGGAGGGCCTTGGGGGGAGCAGAATTTCTGCAGGGGTGTTTTAGTGTTATAATTTAAAGAAAAGATTATGATCCAGACTAAAGCACTTTACACTAGATCCTACTCAGATTGTTAGGGCATGTGTATCAGGCCTCCAGCCTCACTGATTTCAATGGTAAATAAAATATGTGTATTTACAACTCCCTCCCCCCAGAACCGCATGCTTGTATTTCAAGAAATGTTGCCCTCCAATTCCTGTGACCAGAAAAGATGAGAGCTTCCCTTTTTGATGGAAGAATTTCAGACAAAGTAGAAAGTGTTCCAATGTTGGGAAATCAACCACAGGAGTCTGATTTGTAACATGCTCTCAGTCTAGACTGGGACCCCATATTCCTGTTGAAAATTAGCCTTGCACAGCCACTGTTTGCCTTCAAAAGCAATATTTGCCATAAATACTAAATTTTTTTTGGGGGGGGGTGTTACTTTTTACTTTGCAGCACCTAAGTTATGTTGTAAATGTATGTTGGATGAGTTCATTCCCTTCTGTGTCAATTTTACTATTTCTGTTACATCTATAGTAATGGGGCTGATTGAATTCATTTTCAATGAGAAGAAGCTACAGTAACTTTTTAAACCAAATACGGTAATTCTCTCTCTCACACACACACAGCTAGGTAGGTAGGTAGCTATCTAGCTAGCCCTGATGGCTTTTCTACATATTTATTTCTGCAGAAAAATGCACAGGTCCTAGGTCGAAATCCAGACTATGCACTGTGTCAGGAACTGTAGCTGCTTTTTTCCCCAAATAAAAAAAATGGTCAGGTTAAACATACTTTTCAAAATATGCACATATTGTCATGTATGCTTTGTCTCAGAATCCCTCTGTTTAGTTTGCATTGCTGAGAATTTTCATTCCATGCAAAACACTTGGGATTTTATCCCACAGGATAAGCAAAGCGTTTGACATTGTTGGTTTTCCCTTAAGCTTCAGAATGCCTCCTTTGGAAATTAAACAGATGATTTTCCAACCCCATCACACCTTCTCCTTTTCTCTGCTTTCATTAGGATTTACCCATTTGATTAGCCATCACATGGTAGAGATTTGTCCCCTCCCCTTGTTCCTCCAGGATTTCAATTATTTATCTTTTCAAAAAAAATCTGTCCAGATCGTAGGACCTAATTTTAAATTAACCTTGATCTTTCCCCAAACCTCTCTATTGGCGATCATAGGAAGTGGTTTAAAAAAACAACCCAGTGGTTTAAAATTAATCCTGATCTTTCCCCAAGCTTCTCTATTGGAAGGAAGTGGTGTGAAATTAACCCTGATCTTTCCCCAAGCTTCTGCATTGGGATCACTAGGAAGTGGTGTTAAATTAATCCTGATATTTTTCCAAGCCTCTGCATTGGCCATGGTAGGTTTAAAATTGGGGAAATTGGCATTTCAGCTCCTCCCACACATGGTGTCATTGTTTTATTTACAAGTGTGCAACAGGGATTAGCATCACATGGGAAACTGGCCATTATGCCCATCTCTATGCTGGGAATTTAAAAACAAGTCAGTTGCTAACTAGCTTTGGAAACATTGGGGAAACCCAACTGTTTAGTAATGGCAAAATACCTCAGCTCCATGGTTGAAGCTTGCATCATGTAAAAGGCACCGATATTTCTTAAATGTGTAGAAATTCCGATTTTACTGCATGGGATGAAGTCCTTGGACGGACCTTAGAAAATACTACTTTGGGGGAATCCCAGAATTACACAGCTGGATATGTTAGGAAAAGGTATAATTTTTTTCTATATTGAGGTGCCTCTAAATAATAGAGGGCAAAAATAAAAATAACAGTTTGTGGCTGGTGAAAATAGCAAAAACATTAGGATATGTCTATTATTCAGTGATCCATCTAAGGGTATACATTTGGTGGATTCCCAATTGCCACATAGCTCCTATTCTCTCTGTGGGCATGCATTGAGAACCACTTGTCTAAGAGAAGATGTAAGGCCTTATGCCCCCTCATCTAGAGAATGGGGATGTAGAAGTAAACAGCCCCAACTAAACAATGTTATGCTTCTTCTGAGGAATAATGGATTCTGACAATTAAACAGACACTACTTAAGGTAAAAGTGTGAGATTTCCCTGTCATTGTACCATTGGTAACTGAAGCCATTCATGAGAAGATGCAACATACTAGAGAACAAGAAGTTTCATGACTTGCCAAGAAACTATGTCCGGAGTCTGTGAAAGATGGCCATCTGGATGGTGGGAGTTGTAGCCCAGCTGTTCCTAGCTTGGCCCATTTTACAATAGGAAGACAGAGAGCCCCTTTGTTGGCATAGTTGCTTTTCCTCTCATATCTGGGACAGACCATGATTATTTGGAGGCCCACCCTCTATTGAAATAGGCTAACTCTCCCTTGTATTCTCTCAGGCTGGGAAGTTCAACATCATCCCAACCCTCATCAATACTGTGGCAGCCTTCACATCTGTTGGGGTGGTAAGTCATTTGGTTCCCCTGAATGTTTCATCATCTCTCCTCCTTGTACTGTTTATTTCAAGTAAGTGCCACCTTTGTGTATCAGGAAAGAATTTTCATTTTAACAACCCTTTAAAATGGGCCTGGGGGACTACACATGACCATTGGGCCATATCATATTGAGATGACCAGAATCAAACTCCTTTGTCAGAAAGGGAGTCACATTGGGTCTCATTTGGAAGAAATGCAAGAGAATTAATGAATTGGTTAATCAATTATGAAAAGAGTGCAGTTGAAAGATAAAGAACTGTACTTAATAAAAATAAGACATCCCCAAAAATAAGCCATAGTGTGCCTTCTTGAGGAAAAATAAATATAAGACAGTGTCTTGTTTTTGGGGAAATTGGTATATTGCCGCATGCCTTGTGTTATTTGATATCAAAAATATTTTAGTCATTTATGGGAGTGGGGTGTTGCGGGTTTTGATAAATCTTTGACAGTTCATTAAAACTCTGGCAGGTCCCAAGGGCAGAAGACCATTGGGACCCGCCAAATACATTGCAGTTGTCCATTCTACCCTAAAGTATATCTATCAGAAAACAAAGCTTTGTGAAATGAGTTGCTTGATCTTGGAGAACTCCATCAGATGAAGGATAAAGGTCTCAGCTTGGACAGGAAACTTTTTTGTTTACTCCAAAAATATTGACTGGTATACCATCAGCCTTGCTCCTTCATCTCAACTATTTTTCCTGTTGTTTTCTCCAAAGGGTATCTCACCTGTTTTTTGTTTGTTTGTTTGCCTTTAGGGGACAGTTCTCTGTGACATCATTCTCCTCAACTTCTTGAAAGGAGCAGATCAATATAAGGCAAAGAAGTTTGAAGAGGTGAGTTAGTGCAGTCTCACAGAAAAAAGTACATGAGTGACATGATATGTTCTGGTAGCTTTCATTCTTTTCAGGCACCAGGCACATCTTTAGTACAAGCCTACATTCTTGGAAGAGGTCGGATTACATTTCTTTAAAATGCTGCTGCACAACCCCCACCCACATGAGAGTCAGACTGATATCCAGCAGTGGATCCTGGTTCACAGCAGAATACTAAAATGTAGTTTGTGTTCATTGTGGAAAAACTATCTGCTCTTCCATTTCTCATTCCCCTGAGTCTGTGTGTCTTCCCCTATGACAGCCAGAGTTCTTTTTTGCTGACTATTAATATTTCCCCTTAAACCTACCTATCTTGAATGTTTTCCTAATTTCATCTAAATGCTTCTCCTCTGTTTCTCATTTCTCTATGGTCTGATACTGCTGGAATCAGGTCTCACTGGTCCAAATTAATTCAGTCCGCTTCATGGCTATGTAAGAATCTAGACCAGGGGTCCTCAAACTTTTTAAACAGAGGGCCAGGTCACAGTCTCTCAAACTGTTGGAGGGCTGGATTATAATTTGAAAAAAGCATGAATGAATTCCTATGCACACTGCACATGTCTTATCTGTAGTGCAAAAAACACTTTAAAGCAATACAATAATTAAAATGAAGAACAGTTTTAACAAATATAAAGTTATTAGTATTTCAATAGGAATTTCAATTAGTATTTCAATGGGCTTGCTTTTGGCTGATGAGATAGGATTTTTGTTGTTGTGTGCTTTCAAGTCATTTCAGACTTAGGTTGACACTGAGCAAGGGCCAGGTAAATGAACTTGGAGGGCCGTATCTGGCCCTCGGGCCTTAGTTTCAGGAACCCTGATCTAGACACAGTCTTACAATTCTTAGCCTGATCATCAAACCACAGCTGGGCGCATATGTTTTGTGCATCCCACAAGTTTTGTTTCACCTCCAGTCCAAATTCTGCCCCAAGTAAACTCTCAGGTTCTATGTGAAACACTTTGAAAGTAGAAAGAACTCATCCATGCCATTAAGTTGTTAATTGGTCTTTCTCTTCCTCTTTCCATCTTTGCACCCCCTTCCTAACTAGGTATCAGAGAAAGTGTTGCGATCAGATACTTCCATCAATCCTGTTTATCAGAGTAACCAGACGATGGAGGGCCGTTATGAGGAAAAGCATTCAACGGATTCTGGAGCTTTCTCACTTGGGCTCTGATGCATAAGGAACCAGAGAAAGGACTGTAATAATGTATATATATTGTTCTTCATTATCATGGGTACCACTTTGCACAATAGCCTTCAGTCAGAAACTGGAGTGTAGCTGCAGGTGGAAGAGGAGAAAAAAATGATGGTATTGCTCTCCAAATAAGAATGCAATTGTTATTTCACTTTTCAAATTTCTAAACTTACAGAAACTTAAAATTTCAGCTAAATATTTAAGCATACTTTTAGGTTGCCAGAGAAAAGGAGCAGGCAAAATCATGAAGGAACAGTAAATGCAGGAAATATTACAGCTCTAACTGCAAACAGTTTTCAGCTTTCACACTCTGCAAAGCTATAACTAAGGGAAGGAGACTGAAGGAAAATTTCAATGGGTTGGGGGTGGGGGGCAGAATTCTTATGGACTTACTTACTTACTCACTTACTTAGACAATCCCTTGTAGTCTGAGGATGATGGTTCTCCAAGTGTAGTGTCTTGGTGGTGGGATCATAGGTGGCTGTGGAGCCCTATTCTTGATCCGCATGTTCTCCCACAGTGAGGACATCGGTTTCCATGTGGAAGGCAGTCCCGGTCAGGGTTGGCTTGATAAGCCTTCCTCTTGGCACATTTCTCCCTTTCACCCTCCATTCATGCCTCTTCGAATTCTGCAGCACTGCTGGTCACAGGTAACCTCCAGCTAGAGTGCTTAAGGACCAGGGCTTCCCGGTTCTCGGTGCCTATGCCACAGTTTTTAAGGTTCTCTCTAATACCATCTTTAAATCTCTTCTCCTGTCCACCAACATTATGTTTCCTGTTCTTGAATTGGGAGTATAGTAACTGTTTTGAGAGATAGTGATCAGGCATTCGGACAATGTGGCCAGTCCAGTGGAGTTGATGATGTAGGACCATCGCTTCAATGCTGGTGATCTTTGTTTCTTCCAGCACACTGACATTTGTCCTCCTGTCTTCTCAAGAGATTTGCAGGATTTTTTGAAGGCAACACTGATAGAATCATTCCAGGAGTGGAGTGTGACATCTGTAGACAATCCACATTTTGCAGGCATATAGCAAGGTTGGGAGGACAATAGCTTTATAACAAGCACCTTGGTCTCCCTATGGATGTCCCAGTCCTCAAACACTCTCTACTTCATTGTGAAAAATGCTGCACTCGCAGAGCTTGGATAATGTTGTATTTCAGTGTCAAAGTTGACTTTTGTGGAGAGGTGGCTGCCAAGGTAGTGGAAATATTCAACATTTTTTTTATAGACAGCAATGTTCTCATAGCTCTCCTACCCTCTATAGCTACACCACTGGTAACAATTCCTCTCATAACATTGAGGGATTGGTAGTTGGTACCTCACATTTCCCATTCTTCCTCTTTGCTCTCATTTTTCCCCTCAGGAACACATAATGGCTCACCTTTCCATGGGAAAGTGTCAAGTTTTCTCTAGACCAAAACCCCTTCCTTCTCATTTTTTTTTCCAGAAATTTGCTACAACCGAAGTATTATAACTGAACAAAAAGGAGCTATGTCATGCTCCACCAGTGAGCCATTAATATGTTTTCAATATTAGAATTAAGAAATATTACCTGAAGAAAGAGCTCCAAGAAGCAGTCAATGAAACTGAGAAATGCATAGCTTGTAAGTAATGTGTCTGAAACTAAAAACATATACCCATGTTGCCTAAATAGTTCCTGTCATCTGTTAGGCTATGATACTACAGACACTGCACTCATGGCAAACATCCCCATAGTTGAGTAAAGGATTCATCCCCAGTTTTCCCACTGTCATATTGAGTAAAGTAAAAAAAAATGACTAGCAGGCCTTAGGCAAAGTGTTGAATAATACCGAAATAAAAAAATAAACAAATAAAAGGCATGCATAATTTATTAGATGAGAAAGTATTGTGACCTTCCAAGAATTTATCTTCTTTTTATTAATGTTGTTTGGAATTCCCTATGTCCATGAGCTATGAACTATGAAGACAGATCCGCTGAAGGAGAAAGCACCAGGGGACTTTTAAAATGTCTGTTTAATTTACCAAATTACAAGCAGGCCTATTAAAGGGAAGCAGATTTTGCAGCAGGCAGCACCACTGCTTCAAGTTACCCTAAATAACTCAGGATTCTGACTTCTGCTAATCCAGATCATTGATTCAACTTGCACAATATTGTCTCTACAAAAGAAAGAGGGTTGCTAATTATGTGGGACAAATCTGGCCCGCCAGGACAGTTCCTCTCTTCCTTGAAGGCAATAGGGAAGCCCATCCTCAAATCCCTCTCCTCGAGAGAGCAAGTGAGTTAAAACTTTATGCCTGCAGCTCAATCAACTCCACTCTCCCCATTCCAAATAGAAAAGCTGGCTTAGAGCACATCAGAATGGAGCACTCCTCAGAAGTCTGGTTGCATCCACTTCCCATGTTCCACATTTTTCTCCATATCAGGGAATCTTCCAGAGGAATACACATGAGCTCAGGCCTCATCTGATGCCCAGAAAAATGGCTTCTCTAGGCATAGCCTGTATCTCATTGCCTCTCGTTCACTTTCTAGTTGGGATAAGCAACAGGCAAATCCCAATCCGGTACTTGGAAAAGCCACTTCTCCTTATGTCACCCAAAATCCTCCAGCCACAGTTTGCTGCCACAGCCAGCCCACGGAACTGGCCACTGCCTGTGGAGCCATTCCTCCGGCCAAAGGCCCAGTTCCTTTCTCCCTTCCTCTTTTATGAACAAATGCAAAATGTCTTGTTGGGCAGAAGAATTCCCTATATATTTATCAGCTGTCTAGGGGCGATTCCAGACATACATTAACCCACTTCAGAGCAGGTTTAAGATATAAACCCCACTCTGAAGGGGGTTTATATCTGCACAACTAAGGAAAAAACCAGGCTTTGTCTGTTGGCTATCCACATGTCCCAAAAATTTTTGGGATGGCATCTGCCCATCCAAAAAAAACAAAACCCAAAAGGCTTAAAAATAAAGAAAACCTTACCAGGACACCATTAGACCTCTCTTCAGGTCTGATGCATCATTGGTATGTTCCATCAGGCCTGAAGAGAGGCCTAATTGCACCCTGTAAATTTTATTTCTATTTTTAAGGCTTGCGGGGGGGGGGGGGGGGGGGGGGGGGGTGAGCACCACCCAGGAGCCCAGAAGGTGAGAAATGGGTGTGTGGACAGGCCCCTGTGTAGTCCCAGGACTCCCTGGCAATCTTCCCCATAGGGCCTGTAGCCTGTAATACCTGTGCCTTTCACAAAGACGGGGGTCTAATGGACTATCTAATTAATTCAGGATAAAGCAGGGTTTTCCTGCTTTGTCTTAAATTAATCCTTTTTTATTGTTTGGACACCTTCAGGAAAAGTGCAACAGGGCCCGGGATACGAGTTCTGCCTGGATGGGCTCTCCAATAGCCCTATGGGCAACTCAGAACTGGGATAAATCTGGTTCCCCACTGACTGCCCAGAGTTTTCAAACAGCCATCAAAAAGACTGAAACTGGACCCCTCAACAGGCAAATATGTGTGCCATCATGGACCCATGCCTCATCCCCAGTGTAACAACATGGATCATTGCAACTTTCCAATCCACTACCAATTATGCTATAGACACAGCTATCCCTGTTTCAAATTTATTTATTTATTATTATTTTATTTACTTTATTTGTATACTGCTCTTCTCAGCCCTTAGGCGACTCAGAGCGCTTTACAACAATTTAGGTACACACAATATTCTCAACTACCTTTCCTTATATTTTTATATTCTTATACATCTCAGCCCTGATCTCAGACACTGCTCTGCAAGTAAGCAGTCACTTCAAAAATAAATTCTCCAAATCATTATTTTTCTACTGAAGAAAAATTCACCAATCATCTTTTACTCGTAACAAACAAATGCAAGCTATCTACATAACGAAAACATACCCAGCAGCATGAATTTGTATTGTAAATATTCTGTAGTATTGATGGGTAGATATCATGATGACAATGTAGTAAGGTTCTGGAGCATGTGATGGCTTCGCAACTTCAAGAGTTCCTGGATGAAGAAGATTGTCTAGATCCATTTAAGTCTGGGTTCAGGCCTGGTTATGGGACAGGGAAAGCTTTGGTCACCTTGGTAGATGACCTATATAGAGAACTGGGCAGGGGGAGTGTGTCCCTGTTGATTCTCCTGGACCTTTCAGCAGCTTTTGATGCCATCAGCCATGGAACCCTTCTGGGTTGCCTTTCTGGGATGGGGCTCGAAGGGACTGTTCTTCGGTGGCTCCGTTTTTTCCTGGAAGGGCGGTCTCAGAAGGTGGTCCTAGGAGACACCTGTTCAACTCCTTCGGCATGGACGTGTGGGGTCCCTCAGGGCTCTGTACTGCCCCCCATGATGTTTAACATATACATGAAACCGCTGGGAGAGGTCATCTAGAGTTTTGGAGTGCAATGCCATCTATATGCAGATGACCCAACTCTATCACGCCTTTTCACCTAATTCCAAGGAAACAGTTCCTGTGCTAAACCAGTGCCTGACAGCTGTAATGGACTGGATGAGGAGGGTGGGGGGAATGAAGCTTAATCCAGACAAGACAGAGTGCTTCTAGTCAACCATAGGAATAGAGAGTCAGCCTGTGTTAGATGGGATTACACTCCCCCTAAAAATGCAGGTTTGGGGGTACTCCTGGATTTGGCTCTGAACCTGAAGGCCCAGATATCAGCAGTGCTTTTGCACAGTTAAAGCTAGTGTGCCAACTGCACACATTTCTAGAGAAGTCAGATCTGACCACAGTGGTACATGCCTTGGTTACATCCCAGTTGGACTACTGTACTGTGCTGTACATGGGGCTGCCTTTTAAAGATGCTTGGAAACATCAGTTGGTCCAAAGAGCAGAAGCCATATTGCTAACGGGGAATGGCTACAGGGAGCATCCTCTGTTGTGACAGTTCCACAGGCTGCCAACATGTTTTTGAGCACAATGTAAAGTGATACTTTTGACCTACAAAGCCCTATATGACTCTGTTGCAGGTTATCTGAAGGACTGCATCTCTTTCTATAAATTTGGGAGACATCTACAATCTACTGGGGAGGGCCTTCTCTCAGTCCCACCACCCATTCAAGCACGCTTAGTGGGAACACGGTGAGGGCCTTTTCGCTGGCTGCTCCCAGACTGTGGAACTCCCTCCCTAGCGACACCAGAACCGCCTGCTGACCGTCCGCAAGCAGATCAAGTCCTTCCCTTGCCAACAGGCTTTTGGGGAAGGGTAAGGGGAGGCTCTGGGGAGGGTGGGGGAGATTGGGGGGATATGAGTTTTAAAGTCCATTTAATGCATTTGCTGTATTTTAATTCTATTTTTACCACACTGTTATTATTTAATTGTTTTTTAACTTT